AGACGAACTCTAGCAAATCTTGCCCCCCAGAAGTTTAAAAAGTTACCTCCTCCAGCTGCACATCCCATTCCTCAGCTAAAGGTTCCTGCCCCTCTCTCTCCCTTGCTGGAAATCAACAGGAAGGAATGTGTACTGGTACATTCCTCAGTTCAAAATCTGGCAATTTCAACTCTTAATAAATTAAAACCAAACTTGTTGGACTTTACAATGAAAAAACCACTCACACCCACCCCCTACAACCCATTCTGTGACAAGGCAAATGACCCACTGGAAAAACTCATAGCAAACTATGAAGGGAGAGTAATGTCAAAATGCACATACTCACTGCCTCTTCTTAAGGATACTTAGGCATAATTTTTGATGGCCTTATGTACTGACACAGGTGTATCAGTGTATCTTGGGAAGAATCTCCTCATTTTGCACCTCTTTCCCTTTGTATAGCTCCTTTCTTGGGTCCAAGCAATTTCTTTCATTGCCAACCATGTCTACAGAACAGAGATTCCCTCTGTGGCAACTAACTCAACCTCTTAGGATTGTGGTACCACAGGAGCTATGCTTTTGGTGTTTCAACTAGATTGACAAACTAACTTTAGTTTCAATTAGATTGAAAAACTAACTTAAGTAACTTTAGTAGGCATGGCAACCACCTTATTAATCTAAATTAATGTAACTAAACCTGGTATTCTTGCAGTTTTTAATCCTTTCTTCAACTAACAGCAAAAATGTCACCTGTTCTTATTAAACAGATGCCTCTAAATAAAATAATTCTTAAGCTGTGAATCTTTTGTCATCAATTTGAATTCCTTTCAAAATTGTTAACTTTATTCTTCCTTACAGGCTGTCTGTAAATTTTTCTTTAACCATTTAAATGTTTTCTTCAAAAATATTTTTTGTTTCTCAAAACAGTGAAATAATTTGTTTACTTTTATTCCCCCTTTCTTCAAACTTTGTCAGGTTTTGTTCTTGACTAAGTAAAAGCAGTTAAGTGGTTTAATTTTTCTTCTTTCTCTGTAAAGTGTATTTTGGTGCCTAAGAATGTTGTTAATAAAAGGAAATTACACAGTCAATAGTAGGGATGAGAGTTAAAAGTTTATTCTGCAAGCTTATGTCATTATATACTGACTCCCATGGCTACTGCTCATAACAGAAAGGCTTTTTCCATCCACTAAAATTGGTATCAGCTAAATGATATCACCATGACAGAGCTAGTAAAACATCTTTTTCTTCAAGCTGAGGCACGACAAGTCTCTGCTTGGTGCTTTTACAAGAGACATAAAAATACCTTGTGATGAAGTCTTGCAAGCGGCTGAGTGAATGAGGTTAAACCCCAGTTGAGGTGGAGCAGTAGCACTCAGGTTTCTAGTTCAGAATGGAAAGCACAATGAAGTCAGAAAGGTTAAGCTAAATTAGTAATGTTTGAATGAATTTACTAACCTGGCTTCATAGGCCATGAAATGGGCAAACCCCACAGGAGCCAAAACTTGAATATGTTAGGCTCCAAAACATATTGACTTTGGAGCCAAGAGCATTTGATTCTCTCTGTGATGCAGCTTTTATTTTGCTATTTATTATGCCACTAAACGAGACAATATTGTAAAATATCAACTTCATTCTGAAATCAGAAATTAAAAATTCCCTGAGATTTTCTTGCTGAAGGATTCACAGTAATACCACAAAGACAAGTGAAAATTTCTTCTTGCTTATCTTCTTATTCTGCATACTGTGTAGATCCAAAGTTTAAAAAATGGAGGTGAGGAGAACATTAGAATCAAATGCAGTCCAAAAAGCCTCTTCTCTTAGTCACAGCCTTTCCACGCCAGCTGTAAAAATGAGCCATCCAGAAGAGGTGTTAACTGAAAGAGGGCTGTTGCAAGAGACAGCTGATCATGGCCACATTTATTTTAATCTTTATCTTCCTACCCAGAGCTGTCTAAGAGGCTGTGTGCTGCTACTGTCTCTTAAAGAATTAACATTTCAACAATTAATAAAGGACAAATACAAGAAACTATTTAGACATTCATGGTAAAAAGATCAAGACATACATACCTAGATCAAAAATAAGGTCCTCATCTATCTAGGTGCCAAAAATGCCACAGGCACCTAAATTTTCCCCTGTAAAATTAGTCAGAAACTTAAGCCCCAAGAAGGCTACAGGTGCTGGGCTGAAGTTAACACCTCCCTTTCACCTGAAATTCACAACATACACCCCAAAGCTTCCATCTATGTGTTCAATATGACTTCAGTGGGAAAACAAAGAACTCATAGCAATCTCTGTTGATGGTCAGTGTCAACACTTGCTATTTTGTTTACAGATGATGAAAGGAATTGCTCCGTAATTTGAACATCAGAGTAGAAACATATCAACCAAAGAAAGCAAGCTACTCTCTCTCAAAAAACTACTTATCATCAGCTGCTGACAAGGATCAATCCTGCTGAAGTGCCAGCACTCTAAAAAAAAGAACACATGTTTAATAGATCAAAGAGGGTACAAAAACTCATTTGCAAAGTCAGATAATTTTAGGCTGAGGACTGGAGAAGGATGGCAAATTCTACAGTTCAGACCTGCTGCCAATCCTATCTCTGCATTTTTTTCAACGAGTTTGTAATGAAAAGCATGACATTTCTTGAAGTAAGAGCCAGCCTGAACACTGACACGCCTTGTGCTTTGCTGGTCTGGGCTTAAGGATGCTGCTTGGGTGTAATGAATACCATTCCACTGCATCTTGGAAATGGTCTCCCAAAGTTTCCTGCTTCCCCAAGCTCCTTCAAATTTGTTTCCATAATTATAGTATTTGCTCAATTCCCAGTAACATAACTTATTTAGCTGTCAGCAACTTTTGATATTAATATTATGTCACCATTCTTCACAAAAGATCATATTTTATACCTTTCAAAGAGCAATCTAGAACTTATGACTAAACAGCTATTGTGAATAATTATCTCCCACAACTGCCTTATTTCAAGATACTTTCCTATTTTGATTTTGCAATATTTCAGTCATTAAAAAGCTATAGGTTTCTTTATTCTGAAACAGTAATAGATCAGTCCTTGAATAAATTACACCATCTGTCTTCTCCTGTTTACTGTGCTTTTAAGTGACACTTATTTAAGGTTTCTGCTAAAATAAATCCAGACCTCCACAAGCAATAGCCATATTTATGCACTGCCTTAAAAACACATTAATTTGGCTAAGCCTTTTGATTTTGATCTTTTGCCGGTACCTAACTACTGCTTTCAAAATTTCACTACTTTATTCCTGTAAATTCTGCCAAAGAGCCATATTTTTAATAAAGTGTTGTTTAGTATGAAAAACTCAAAATAGCAACCACATGAACTAAAAACAAGAACAAAGGTGATTAAGCCTTCTTTTCTTCGTAGATATGAGGAAAAAAATGGTATTCACTTTTGAACTATCCTTTTGAAAGCAGCAGACATTTTATAACTTCTGAAATGAAGCTTACAGTAAAAGCTTCCTTAATGCTTCTAAGTCTTCAACTATTTTGGGGAAAAGTACCCACTTTTCAGTAAAAACAATCCAAGATTTCAGCAACAACAAGTTCCAGACCATAAACCACAACAATAATTAGTATTTTGAATAGCATAAATTAATAACAAGCCAACAAAAATCTTTACACAAGAAACTCTCTGTGCTGCTGAAACTCTTATGAAATATCAAAAACGCCAATAATTAGGAAACGCAATCCAGAAAAGAGCCTACCCTCTTTAGGATTGTGACTGATCTCAATGTGGCAAACGCACAGGCACACAGATGGCGGAACACAGGGTCCCCAAAGGAATGGCTCCATAGGTACCTTCACATCCTACAGACTAAACAGACATGTGCTGCTGCAGGTACTCAGTCTGGGGGAAACAAAAACCCTCAGTATGATCTTTTTCCTTTTCTATTTCCTACCTTTATCTGCAAAGATTTTTCTTCCCTGATTCATAGACCTGGCTCCTGGCTACAGGGAGGAAAAGAAACAGCACCATCATTACAGAAGAGAGGTATTTCAGAATGGCCTGGCAGTGCCCACCTTTTTCTCCCTGTCCCTTCTGTCCCCATGAGGCTCCCAGCCTGTCAGACTCCTAGCTCGGAGCTCCTGCTCCTACTCCCAGGGTTTACAGCGCTGCAACCTCAGGGCCGGGAAATCAAACATAATCGAATCACTGCTGACACCTATTGGCAGCCCCGGAAATCCCGGTTTATCCGTTCTGGTATAGTTAATACACACGAATACAGCGGTTGGGAACACCGAAAAGCAGGGCACCAAAACACTGAAAAGTTCTCATTCCCCTGGGCTCTCACATGGATAACGTTGCAGGTCCGGGAAGCAGGAATGGGCATCAAAGAGGGGCCCCAGGAGGAGTAAGGAATCACCTCACTACACAAACTGATCTTTGCTGGTACCAATTTAAATTGAAACTTCAACCAAATTGGTGGGGTAAGGTGAAAGGCTGTCTCATCCTGCCGACGGTGTGGGATCACCACGCCAAAGAAGAAGATCCAGGAACAAGCCCAACTACTAAAGGAAATGTCTAGGCAAGAACATTGACACACTGAGCACGTGTGTAACGAAGGGCAAATGAATAGGAACATCCTATAGGAAGCAAGGGAGGAAATGGCAAATAGCACCACCAGTGAAAGCAAGATACAGACATCAAGTAAAAATACAAGCCTCCGCCTAAAACTCATTTACGCTTTACTACACGAATGCAAAAAGCCAGGAGAACGACAGATGCCCTGTGAGAGGGAGTGCCCTGAGAGCACAGGGGACGGGGGCAGACAAAGAACCCACAAAGCACTTCCCGACCCGCCCCACCACGGCCGCCATGTCACGGCCGCCATGTCGCGCTCCGGCGCCGGCCCCGCCCATCTCCTGGCGGAACGGGGCGGAGTTGACGAGGGGGCGTGGCCATGCTGGAGCCCGCCCGGCCGGCGCGAGGCCACGCCCCCTCCCGGCGGTCGCGCGCGCGGCCCCCCTGCCCGCCGCCGCCCGCTTCCTGCCGCGTCCGCGCGCCCGCCCCGCCCGAGCAGCGGCCGCAGCCCCGGCCGGGCCCAGCGGGGAGATGAACACGGTGCTGTCCCGGGCCAACTCGCTCTTCGCCTTCTCGCTGAGCGTGATGGCGGCGCTCACCTTCGGCTGCTTCATCACCACCGCCTTCAAGGAGCGCAGCGTGCCCGTCCGCATCGCCGTCTCCCGGGTCACGCTGTGAGTGCTGCGCGGAGAGGGAAGGAAGGGAGTGGCGGGGCAGGGCCGGGCCCAGCCGGGCGGCAGGCGCTGCCCGCTGGGGAGTGAAGGGCTCGGCAGCCGAGAGCCAGGGGCGGGTGAGGGGACGCTGCGGCCGGCAGGGGCGGCCGGCGGCTCGCGCGGCGCTCGGGCTCGGCCTCCTGCGCTCTGGGCGGGCCAATGGGGGAACCCCACGACGGCGCGGCCAGGCGGGAGCCGGGGCGGCGCTCGGGGAGCGGCCCGGCCGCCTCGGCCCCGGGAGCGGAGCGGAGGCAGCTGCTGCCCGCGGCTGTGGAGAGACAGGGAATACAGGAACGTGGAGTTTATCCCATGAACGTTTATCCCATTGTAGTACCTTTTGCTTTTGATTAGTAGCTCTCTTGGGTTCCTCCATTGGTAACCTAGCATACTTTCTGTCCCATGGTAGCAAAGTGATTGGGATGGCTTCTTTCCTGTGAAATGCACCAGGTGTAGGACACAATAGCACATCAAAACGTGTTGCCTACACAGATAAAATGGGCTGATGCAAACTTGTGCTGGGGAACCTTTTTTCCTAGTTTTGGTGTTAGTTCGAGGTGGGGTTTTTTCTCTGAAAGGAGACTTCCTCACAGAGAACTTCCATTTAGTTACTTATGTGTGATGTGGAGGGCAGTAGTTTCACAAGCATTCGAGCAGCTGTTACAGCCACCTATGAGTGGAGGTCTTTGCTCCCGTTTTTGCCACGTGGTTCTTTACCAGAGGACACTGGGGCTTCTGGCCAATAGGACATTTAACTGACCTGCTTTAACTCAGCTCATGCTTTTTTGTTAGGTTGATTTTGGCTCAGATTAGGGAGCTAAAGCAGCACACTTTAGTGCCAGGTTGGATGGAGCTCTGCACAACTTGGACTAATGAAAGGTGTCCCTGTCCATGTCAGGAAGGTTGGAAATTGATGATCTTTAAGGTCCTTTCCAACCCAGGCCATTCTGTGATGTGGTGATGATTCTGTGGAGCTTTGGAACCACCCCAAGTTGTGTCACCTGTGAATGCCTAATAGCAGGACTTGAAAGGAGATATGATTGCAAATAAGGGGACTGCTGTCACCTTTAATTCTGGTTTAATCACCTTTAAGACTGGTTTAATACCACAGGAAAAAAACCAAGAACCTGTATTCATGCTACACTGAGGATTGCAAAAGCACAAACTTGACATAAAAGCATATCTTCGAATGTTATGGTGAGCCTAGCATATATAGGGCAGCATACAAATGCCTGATTTGGGTGAAATGTGTATTGCCAGTCCCTTGTGTGAGGCACACAGATCTGGTGTTACTGTACTTTTACTACACCTAATCTGCTTCTCTTGAATGTCTGAGAAGTTCTGGAGACCCCAAGCTCAGGCCTGCTACTCCATCTGACTGACAATGGATAAGAGGTGAAGTCAAGTGCTTGATAAGGTTTTCTACTTAAAAATATACTGCTTTTTGCAAAGAGATGAAAATTCATAGCAAGGCTTAAATTGTGAAGATTTGGTGGTGTTTTTCTTATCTGCTATCTCCAAAAGTGTTTTCTTCACTTGTAAACTTTTTTTTTAATTTGAGATTACTAAACCTGGTTTTAATGAAATAATATTTTAATTGACTAATTTCTGAACTGGACTAAATATAGCTATGAAGTTCATAATTCATAAAAAAAATTGTTCAATGAAGAGTTGAGGTTCATAGTTGATGGCCAAGCTAATTGCTTGTGGTATTCCTCGTTTAGATGGTAAGTTTGGTAAAGCTTTATGTATTCATTAATCTTATCAGTTCATAAAACTGATAAGCTTTATGAATACATATGGCAATATCTGCTGTGTGTCTGTTATTTTCCAGTTACTCTTTCCATTGTGTTTTACTGTGCCAACATGAGGTAGTTTTCCAAATGGACGCTTATAATAAAGCCTTCCAAAATGATACCATTTTCCAGAATGTAGATGAAAATAACTATTTTCTTCATGCTGTTACTTAAATACATCACAGGAATAAATCTTGAAACTTGTGTGAGCTATGCATGTAAACTGTTGTGTTGGAATGGTCAAAGCCTCACGAAAGGCATTGGGTTTTTTTGTTTCTTCAAGGACAGTTGAGAAATAATATTGAATGTGGTTGCCAGCAGACTGCTATGCTGATGGTGTCCCAATCAGTTTTACTTATAGGGAGATGCTAAAACATATTTTACTAAAGTGAAATGTAGTCCAGCTTGTATACAGATTTTTGTTAACAGGAAAAAGTCAATAGGCTACTTATATGTCTTAGACACTGTGGTGTCAAGGCCTGACATTTAAAACTGGGACACCATAATTTCTGGAAGGTGGGTGTTAGTTTGTAATTTTGATTGCCTTTTAGCCAGAAGTATATAAAGCAAAATACAGAAAATGGATGTGGGAAATATCTAATAAAAACCATAATTTTTGTAATGTGTAAGGTATAAATAATGAGAAAGGATAATCTTGTGTTTTGTTTTCTCCTAGAAAAAATGTAGAAGATTTCACTGGACCTAGAGAAAGAAGTGATCTGGGATTCGTCACATTTGACATTACTGCAGATATCCTTAATGGAAGAAATGGTTTGCAGGCTTTTTGGAATGAGAACACTTAGATGCTATTTTTGTTACCTTATAATCTTCAGATATTCAGGACATGGGGAAAACTAGCAATTTGTCTAAAAATAAAAATTTAAAGCAGCTAAAAATAGTATTTTGCATAGCTATGGCAGTGAAATAGAACTTAAACCAGCTCTTTGGTCTCTAGTAGTTGACAAGTTGTTTAATGCCTTTTTTTGAAATCAGGCTCTTTTGTTAAGTGCACTGTATCTAATAATGGGGAGTGCAGTTTAACATCTAGACATTATTACTTTTAAGTGAAGTTTGTATCAGTGGTTTGAGGAGTGGATCAATTGCTGTTGCAGTTTTGCAGGTTTTTTTTTGTATTTCTTTGCTTCCCTGCTAGTCTGCATTTAGGCTCTTGAAAGAGTTTTTCTTCAGAAGTCAGTACCAAATAATAGGTGGCATGTTCAGGTGATTACACTAAACCACGTTTTGCAGCTGGTCTGAGAATCCTGGGATTTTTCCCTGTCTGCTGGTTTTTGTCTTTTAGACAAGGCACTGATCACCTGTGTGTTTTGGTTTTGCCCTTTTGAAGGGGAGCTGTGTCTTGTGTGAGCTGACCACACAAAATACAACTCCTGATACAAATGCTGGATAAACAGGCTAATCAGATTTTTGCAGGCCTGTTTGCACAGGAATGAGAGGATTTTTTTTTTTATCAACTGGAAGCAGGAGAAGTAAGTTCCTGAGTTTTACCTCTGAAAAGCTTATATATATTAAAAAGAGAGACTGAATTCTAAATTAGATGCACAGACCTGTACACATTGTGTATAGAGAGAAGCAGAGCAAAGCAGGACAGGACCTCTAAAAGAAATATTCTTATAAAAGGATTAGTCTGCAGTATGTGAGCATAAAGATTCCATGTTTGAATGACTGCTACTAGTAACAGCCTTTTTTTTTAATATTCTGACTGAATCTCTCATGCCTGGCATAAACAAAGCTTGCAATACGTAGAGCTGTTGAAGTCTGGTAGGGTTTTTTGTTCAAAATGTCTGAAGAGATACAGGTACATGGACTGTCTTAACTAGCAGAAAGAAGTTGTTAGTCCTGGGAGAAGTTAAATAAAATGGCAGTTAGAAAAAGGAACTAGGCAAAGGAAAGGGAGCATAGAATTTTGACAGTCTCCTTTAAGCTTATTTAATTCATTGTTAACTTTTGCAAGTGATAAGAAATCCTATCAAGGAGATCTTCAAAATCTTGTTTGATATTTTGAGCCAGGTGACAAAAAAATCTTCAAGTAAAATATTTCTACCTATTCTTGCAGCGACAGGAGTTAAATATTTAATTCTTTCCTTTCTTGCCCTTTGAATTAGTAGCTGAAAAACATGTGTGTCTTGGGATGAGTGGAAGAAGGAGAAACAGATTTTGAGGCTGGTTAGGGAATCTATTTATTCTTTTAAGATAATGGCAAATAGAATAGAAAAGAGGACTAGGAAATAAAAGATTACAGCTAATCTCTATTGTGAATTAAAAAGTGTTTTCCTTAGCAGTCACGCATTATTGTTAAATAAACAGACAACTGTTTAGATTCCCAGCATTATTATACTGTCTCAAATGGCAGTCATCAGTTTTTACTGCAGTTTTTACAGCAGTCTTTACTGCTGATTAAAAATCTGATCAGAGTTTTTTGTTCGAGTCTAATGAGCTTTCTTTGTTGTCAGTAGAGAATCAAATTTGCTAATTTTTGGGGTCCCTTCCAATAGGAAATACTTCCCATATTCTAATTTCTCTATCATGGGCATTAAAGGCTCTTTGAATTCCCTAGCCGTCACCAATTTTGCATTTATATATTGTTTAACGTTATTGTATTTGGATGCAAGGGTTCTCTGATACTATAAAAATTGCCTTGGGAATATTTGTGGAAGAATTCTGTCGTGACTTTTATGTTTAAGGTTTTATAATAGGTTGTCTAGCAGAGGATTGTGGTTACTAGCTTGCAGTGTCAAATATAGAACTCCTAAATTATTGGAGGAGAAATAGCTGCTAGACTTCATAAGTAGTAAAAAGAAATACCCACCTGAAAACTTGTCACTTTATTATGACTAAAACTTGTGTTCAAACTGCTGGCAGTGCTCTGATTTATGAGTAAGATGAGGTATGTTGAAAGGTAAGAGCTCACTGTAATGATTATAGACTACTTAGATCTAGTAAAAATAAGGTTATATAAGTACAGTATGGTATTTTTCTTAACTTGCATACATCTGCAGAGTATATTTGATTGGAATGTTAAACAGTTGTTTCTATATTTGTCTGCAGAATATTCAACAAAAAACAATGTAAGTATTAAAAAGAAGTTTGAAGCAATTACTCATTTTAGTACTGCAGCTATTTTTAAGCATTCTGTAGTTCTTCTGAGAAGAGTTAAGGCCACCAGTATTTCCTACTAGCCTGCACTGGCCTTCATGATTATTTTCTTGACAGTTAAACTGTAGGCTGGGAAGCTCACCTCCATAAAACCTAACTTGATATATGCCCAGTAAAATGGGAGAAAAATGACACATGCCTTGTGTTGCAGTATACTTACAATAGTATACTGTAAATAAGATTTTTCACCTTTTCTGTCCATTTTCCTTTTTTTCCTAAATGTCTGCAGTTGACTGCTGTTAGAAACAGGAGGGAGTGGCTTCTGGGCTGGCCTGATGTGGTGTGTGTTTTGTTCATGGATCACAGTTGACCCTACCAGTTACTGTAGCCTTGTAATTCATTTACATTACCTTGTCATACTTCTCAAAATAATTTGCCTTGTTCCTTTAAATTGGTTGCTACTGAGCCTTCCCTTTGGGATAGCTGAAAACCCTTTTTACTGATCTGATAAAAGCCATGTGGAGCAGCCGTTTCAAAAATTGCTTTCATGAAACAGCATGCTGCCACAGTACCACTGAATTGTAGTTAAAGCTGCTGTGGTCACATTACAAGGATATGGTGAAACTTGGGGGTTTTCTTAACTTGCTGTACAAAACTGTCCTTCTTTTTTAACTTTTTTTTTAAAGTACCTTAGTTATATTAAACAAGGTGGTGGATATTGTGTTTGTACTAGATTGTACAGTGATTTTACTGTATTGTTCCATATTTTAGATTTTTCTTTCATGTAACTCAACACTTCTCACAAATACTGGGATGTATTTTTCTAAATTGTTCTATAAATTAGTAAACAAGACTGTTTAGCATCTACTTGAAACAACTTTACACTTTAGGGTGTAAAGAATTTACACTTTAGAGTGTAAATTCCAGTAATATAAGAACTTGGGATCTCACTTTCTCAACTGTTAATAAATTTTTTGGGGTTATGCTTGCAATTAAAATAGAGATTTCCATTAAAGTTGGAAAAATGATATGGACATAAGCAGAGTCATGCTAACTCAGTTTAGGTCCTGTATTTAAAACAAAGTCTAAATACTGCTTTGAAAGTGACTTACTTTGCAATTCAGAAGGAAACCCCTTTATGCTTTGTAATTCTTCTCAAGCATATGACTTCTTTTTAAATGCCTTTCTTGTGTTTTAAAATGTTCCTTGTTGTTTCCGTTTATTCCATGCCGCACTTCACTGTGTAGTAGTATTACATTGCCCCACTGTGAAATGTTACTTTGTTAAATTAGTTAGGGATTGCAAGCATGTACTTGCAAAAGGGGGTTTTAGAGGAACAGTGCAATGAAGGTCCAGTGTCTGAATGTGATTTGCTAAGATACCTTGCTGACTTAATTACAATTGTGATTTTAGGCCCTAAATCAGGTGGTCCTTTGGGACAAGATCATGTTGAGAGGAGATAACCCAAGGCTGTCCTTAAAAGACATGAAGTCAAAGTACTTTTTCTTTGATGATGGAAATGGTCTCAAGTAAGTAAATATTTGTTTTATTACTAGTATTCATGGTATCTTGATTTACTTACTTACTTTGCATTTAATACATGTGTTCATTGGTGTAGTAAGGTGCCTGTGTTCTATGTGATACTCTGTCATCTCTATTGCATCTTTCATTGTTAGAAGATTGCCTTGGGGTGCAAGATATCCTATGTATTCTGTAGACTGGAAGATGTGCTGCTATAATGAGCAACAGGCTTCTGGGTTTCTGCCTTCAGTCTGTGTAAAATTGGTTCTGTGATGCACCCAACTCCAAAGCAGTCAAGTAAAAAAAAGTAGGCAGTAACTACCTAAAATTAAACAGCTTGTTGTTTCTGGCCCAGATAAACAATCTGTATCCTAATCTATTTAATACTAGTAACTGTTAATTAAATCACTAAACTTGAGTGTTTGTGCTGATAGTCTTTGTTGCTTTTGCAGGGGAAACAGGAATATCACCTTGACTCTCTCCTGGAATGTTGTACCAAATGCTGGCATTCTACCTCTTGTAACAGGATCAGGACATGTGTCTGTACCTTTCCCAGATACCTATGAAACAACAAAAAGTTATTAAATTATAGTACTGAATCATAAGCAAAATATTTTTATACTTGTATATTGTGGATACATTTTATTGCAGTTTCTTCTTGCATCCCATCCAACTTTTCACTGAATGGAGCTTAATTTCCTCAGGATAGTAGCATAGGAAAAAGAAATGAAAATTCAGGTTTTTTTTTTTTAATAAAACATTGCAGCTGAAACTTAAGGGAAAGGTAAATTGCAGAGCAACGGTTTTGAGGGGGAAAACTGAGGATTTTTTTTTTCCTGGCCATTTAAGTATAGATCTCCTTTTCTTTTAAATAAATATTTTTAAACCAGAAGATAGTCTTCCTGTGTTTGGGCTTTTTAAGTACTGTGATTCTTATTTATTTTGTGTAGAACTCAAATATACTTTCTGGAGTTGGTTTCTGGAAGTGCCTGAAGGAAATGGCTGTTCCATTTTAGGGCATTTTTTTAAATCCATGTGCAGTATGTTACAGTAGGCTAAACTTGGTCCTTTCTAGGACTGTCAGCAGCTACTTGGAAAACTGGTAGTTCATTATCTGTCAGTCAGCCTCAAATCTTGAGTGCCACTGATGAAGCCCACATTCAGTTCTGTATTACAAATCATTTTAATAACTGCTTGCAACGCAGCAAACTGGAAGAATAAAAAGAAATCTACTCAGTATGAGTCTTATTTCTTTAAGCATAAGACATAAGGCTAAGTCAGTAAGAAAAGTAAAAGCTTTAGGTAGAGAAAGGCTTTCTGAAATGGAATCTCTAGATTTTTACTGGGATCTGTTCATCAAGAAAGAATGAACGTGCTTGTCCCAGAAGGGGCTGAGACAACTGATATCAGAGGGGACCTTCCACAGCGAGGGATAGGATAGATGTTCCCTAAACAGTCTGGGTAAACCTTTCCAATTACTCTATCTTACCAGGGTTTCCCCATGGTAAGATAGAGTAATTGAGGCAGATTTCCCAACCTGATTGTCAGTGGGTCTGCCTGCAAGGCTTGCTGAGTTGCATGAGCCAGGAAAAGTAGCAAGCAGCGTGCAGCAGCTTCAGGCAAAACCTCTGCAGAAAAAGCGGCCTCTCTGTGGCTGCACATCCCCCTGTGTGTGTCCTTCCCTCAGCCACAGCTGGGAGTGCTGTCAGGGTTGGGAGGAGGGAAGGAGCAGGGTACCAGGATGCCTCTAGGCAGCAGCAATGGCTTGCAGTGATTGACTGGTGCATTCAGGCCATCCAGGGGATAGCCAGGAGAAGGAGCACCCCCTCTATCTGCTGTCGCCCTCCTGGCACAGTGCCTGATTTACATGTGTGTCTTCAAACAAAGCATGACAAAGGGAATTCATTGCCAGACAGGGAATGTTCTAGATGTACTGGACGCTTGGAAAAAGAGGAAACTAAAACTCAGGTTTTAATGCTGTAAATCAGAAAAAAAGTAATAGGAAAAATGATAAGAACTGCATTGTGAAAACCCTTATAAAAAAAAGAGATGCAAAAGATCGGAGCAGAGTATCTCCCTTTGTTTTGAGTTCACCTAAGAGCTGATTGATTTTGAAGGAACTAACCTGCTTTTAAAAAGGGATCTTTAATATTTGTGAATTTTTCCTAAGTGACTATTGAATACATTCTTCATGTTGATGTATTAATCAAAAAAAGTCTTGAAAAAAATTCCCAAAAGGTGCTTTGTCTGTACAAACAAAATTTTAAGTGAAAAAACTAAAAAAAATTTTTACATAAATGTTGTAGGAGAATTTGTCATTTGTATCCAGCATATTTGCATGAATTTCAGTTCTCTGAACTTGTGCTGTTTTCCACAGAGTAGTATAATCAGCACGTTGAAACACATACTATTTTTGCTGTGCTTTGATATCAATTGTATATATGGCTCTAAAAACTGTTACAGAGAACTTAAAACTGTCATAGAGAAGGAAAACAAACTATTTTTAGAGATAATTGGGCAGTTGTGGATTTGTTTTGCTAATTGCCAAATAGGTGGTTGGTTTTTTCATAAATTATATTCTTGAGTTGTTTACTGAAGCATTTCTTGTGGCTTGGCATTCAACCACTTCCCTGCATTCCTTTGGCAGTACTCTTCCAATGAATATAATGTCTGCCTATTAAAGAGAAGCTTTAACTACAGAGACAAGGATCTGCTGTCAAAGAGCATCAGGGAGAAAGCTACTTTCTGTCCTACAAAATAGTATATTCCTCCCAGCAGACAGTAGCAGAATTTCAAAACACAGAAACAGTAGCTTTCAAATGTGATGTTTGATGCTTTACTTGTGTTTCCCTGTGAAGAGAAATTATGTTTGAGGTAAGCATTTTAGAGGGACGAAGAAGAAACCATCATGGAGTTCAAATTCTTGGAGAGAAGAACTTGTTTTTATCCTGATGAAAAGGCCAGCATAAATGAGCACTTGATGCTGTAATAGCTTGGTCTTTGCTCCTGAGTCATGGAGACGGGGTGTTGGTTCAGAGTTTAAGGAGGTGAATTCCTCAACTGATCTCTATAAAAATTAAAAAGCCTTTCCAAAAGTCAAATGGCCACTGTATTTTGTTGTGACAATTTTTAAAAGCATTTACAAAAAGAATGTGCTTTTGTGGGAACTAATGGCATTGACTTCCTCTTGTCTCACACATCTCATGAGGTACTAGTACTGCTGGCAGCTGAGTGTGCTCTTAGCTGTGTTGCTGACCAAATATTGCTGGTTTATGAAGTAATATATACAAACAAGGTATTCCCTGGCAAGTGATTTACTTAATGGGGAGAGGCTGAACTGAAAATCCTAAAGATACGTTTCAGATAATAATTTTTAAGTGAGGTTCTGGAGACAGCAGTTCTTGTGTAAGGACTGGAAAAGGGAAATTTTTAAAGTAGCCTTTATTTCCATTTGCCATCAAAAACATGCAGCACTACACTGACAGCTCTATGCAGGAGGGGCAAAATAGCTTTGAAAAATCTGTGTTTAGAGCTCTGCTCCCCTGAGCAGGCAGTCTTATTTATGGGTGGCTCTACAGTAATTGAAAATAGACATTAAGAAAAATTGTTTCTATCAGTTGTTAATTATTTTATATATTTCTTATGAACAATGAAATGAAACCTAGCTAATATATTGTTTACTAGCAAGATTTAAATAGAGTTCCTGCATAATTTTTGGATTCCAACTGTTGAAAATATTGTTCTGAAAATTGCTTCAAGATGGTAGGTTTTACAGATCAGTTCTGCAAAATGAAAGCTATTTAAGCTGAAAACTCAGGTACTGGAGAAGCAATCTTGCTCCAAATTTGTGTCAGAAAATCCATACAGAATAACTGTCAAGACTTCAAAAAAAGTTTTTCTGGTTTATTTGGCTACTTTATTTTGGAATTTTTTTTTTTCATTAAAACAGTTAAAACTTATAAAATTTTAAACTGTTCATTCAAAAACAACAGACAGCTACTGTTTAGCCTGAAAAGTCTCATTCTACACATATGGGTAAATGCTCATATTGCAGTAGTTATATCAGGCATCTTTTTATTAAACAAAAAAAAATATCCAAGACTTAGCTTGAACAAGCCAAATCATTTCTGGATCTTTTTCTGGTGCCCTCCAACACTTCCCTCAGACCATTTTCTCAATGTTATTGAAGATAATGAGCTGAAGATGCGCAGATGGAAACGAGTATTCAGTATTAAGAATGATCATAGAACAGCTTGGTTGGAAAGGACATTTAAAGGCCGTCTAATGCAACCCTTCTGCAGTGAGCAGGGACATCTCCAACCACATCAGGCTGCCCAGAGCCCCATCCAGCCTCACCTTGAATGTTTCCTGGGATGGGACATCTAACCCCTCTGGGCAGCATGCTCAGTGCTTCCCCACCCTCAAACTTCTTCCTTCTATAAATCCAGCCTTCTTCAGTGTAAAACCATTATCCCTTGTCCTATCTGAACAAGCCCTGCTAAACTGTTAATGCCCATCTTTCTTTAGGGCCCCTCGCAAGTGCTGGAAGGCCTCAATTAGAAGTTCCTGGAACTTTCTCCAGGTTGAACAGCTCAATTCTCTCAGCCATCCCTGTAATCATCTGTATGGCCAGGATTTTTCTCTCCATCTCTCCACCTTCTCCTCTTTCCCTCCTCTCATCCTTCCCTCCTTCTCACTACCCCTGCCTGTTTACTCCAAGCTTCAACACAACTGCTTTTTTCAATCATTAATGGTCTAATAATGAAACTCTAAATCCTCTGTGAATAAACTATTTAGAAAATAAAGTGGAAAAAGAACAACTGTGGGTTAACCATGGGCAAATTCATCTGAAACTTTCTTCTGCTTCCCAGCTGTATTCCCTTTTGCTCCTTGGTAGTACTCGCATAAATTCTGAAGAAATAGCTGGCACGTTTTAAAATTATAAAATTGGCAGAAATGGGTTAGAGGGCATACATATTTCCAGTGCTAGAAGACCATGACAGTGAGCAAGCATTTCTGTAATTAGAAGACATGTTTGTATTATACCACTAACTTTGTTAGCAGCAGTCATCATGTGCTTTGCACTTGTAATGCAATGATTTCCAAGAGCTTTACAAGAAAAATACACATTTAGTCCCAGAAAGATCCTGGCATTCTTAAGCCATACTGGAAGTGCTTTTGCAAGCAACAGTCTTCAAAACAGTATCCTGGGATAACTAGAATTGCCTGTGTGGCATGGGATAAACCCACCACAAGTTCCACCAGCTGGCTGCACAGGTGGTTGGTAACCAGAAGGGATAATTGAGAACTCTTAATTGGGCAGGCCTTTGGCAGAGCCGGGATTTGGATGCCGTGTGTGGAGTTTTGTTTCTGTGTTACAACGTGCACAGCAGGTACAGTGCTATTCATTCAGTCTGCCTCCTTGCTTGGTGTTTCTTCTTGCTCTGTCAGGGTTTGCTTTTGTTTTCCAAGAGACTGCTCTGGTCCCATGTGCTCATGCTGAAGGGAATTTGTTGGATTTGATACACAGATGAGGTTTCAGAGTGTGGTGGTAGAAGCTATGAGATGGGTAAAGAAGATAAGCCAAACACTGATTTCTGAGTTGAAGTGTAAAAATGTTTATGCTTAGGAATGGTTGGTGTTAGATGTAGTTATGAGAGGCAGACAGGTCTGTTTTGTGTGATATTGTAACTGAAGATTGAGATAAAACTAGTTTAGCTGTAATTTGGAAGTAACAGTGATCAGATTGTGGCTGCTGAAGTCTTTCTGGGTTTTGCATTTTGTTGTTTGGTGGTGTTGCTGGTTTTTTGGTTTATTTGGTTGGTTGATTTTTGTTTTTTTTTTACTTTACTTTTATTTCTAGAAGGTAAATTTCTTCTTGTTTTCTTTCTTTCTC